AACCCCAAAACCCCAAAACCCCAAAACCCCAAAACCCCAAAACCCCTAATTTTCAACAGATTATTGAATAAATTTAAAATAATATGAGTGTTAGAAGAAAACAACTTGAGAGAAGAAGACAAAGAGTAGCTAGTTCAATGAGCCAAGCTTCCATTAGTCAGCTTAAGGGCATGAATTCCATCTTGAAGAACCCTGGAGATAATAATAATGCACATAGAAACTTCTTAAACTCAGTAGTCAGATTTTCATCTAACCCTCATGCTGATAAAAGTTTATCGAACATGTCAGGTTCCAGGAATATGTTGAATGTATCTCAACCTGTCAGTCCAGTTCACCAAGGAATTATTGGTCAAGAGGCAAGGGATAGGCTAAATAGTTCTATGATCGTTCGGTCTTCAGCAAGCATGATGAGCTCAACCAGTAGTCAAGAATTCGTCAATATTCGAGCAAGACCAATTATAATCAATGATACTAAGCCTAAATTTGATCCTGATAAGCTACAGTACGAAGTTAAGAGAACTTTTTATAAGAAGAATAGAACGGTATGTCCCACAGCTCATCGAATAGGCAACTATGAAAGGGAAAACAGGTAAATCATGGCTTGATGTAGAAGCCAAAAACAGATCCTTTGCTCCTCCGCCAGGACATTACGACATCAAAGAGGCTAAATCTGATAAGATGGGTTTTCTTAAGAGCAAGAGGGTGACTCAGATTCAGGAATATATCAAGCTGAATAAGTGGAAACTGGCTCCAGGTGTTCATTATAAGAGCAATTCCTTCAAATCAACACTCATGGGAAACAGGAATGGAATTATGCACTCCAAAGTTCAGAGAATGGGTTACATAGATGAAGCAGTAGTCAGAGGCCAGCAGAGTCCAGCAAGCATATATAAAAAGGATTCAAGGCATACTAAGAAAAGGCAGCTTTATGGAAATTTCTCTAAAGGCGCAAAGCGAGAGTCTGAATTCAAAATCAAAAAGGCTAAATCAGGGCCAGATGATTATAATTATGCAGAAGCTTTTAATAAGACGCAAGGGAAATCTCGCCATTGCTTTTTCTCAAAAGGTATCACCAATTGTATATTTTCTATAGAAAAGCAGCCAGTCAAAGCAGGATCAAGTAAATTTTCCGTACCTGGTGTCGGGAGTTACCTCAAGGCTGAGAGTGGATTTGAGAGGTTAAGTCCTAAACCTCTGTCTATTAGAAAACGGAGATGATAAACACAAATCTGGTTTAAATTTCTTCTTAATTCAACTTTATTTAATAACAAAGGGGTTTTGGGGTTTTGGGGTTTTGGGGTTTTGGGG